CGGTGAGCTTTTCACGAAGCTTAACCGCCGTGGCCGGTTTTCTGAATCCACCGCTCGGTTTTATTTCCATCAGCTTGTCTCCGCTTTACACTTCTGCCACCAAAACGGCGTTGCACATCGTGATATCAAGCCACAAAATCTACTCCTAGACAAAGAGGGTCACCTCAAAATCTCCGATTTCGGACTCTCCGCCTTGCCGGAGCAGTTACAGAACGGTCTCCTTCATACCGCGTGTGGTACGCCGGCGTATACTGCTCCGGAGGTGGTTTACAGAAGAGGGTACGACGGAGCTAAGGCGGATGCTTGGTCATGTGGGGTTATTCTCTTTGTGTTCCTCGCCGGTAGCTTACCGTTCAATGATAGCAATTTGCCTAACATGTATAAAGCTATACACCGGCGTGAATATCAGTTTCCCGATTGGGTTTCAAAGTCAGCTCGGAGGATAATTAACCGACTGCTTGATCCTAATCCGGAAACGAGATACGGAATTGAAGAGCTCATGAACACTGTATGGTTTAAGAAATCACTGTCGATGAAACCAGAACAAAGCACGAAGCAATTTGGCGAGGGGATTTTGGAGAAAGAAAGCAAACACATGGAGAGTATAAATGCATTTGATTTAATTTCAATGTCTTCAGGGTTGGATTTATCGGGGATATTTGAAGAAGAATTGAACAAGAAGGAGATGAGATTTACGACGAATGTAGAAGTAAACGTAATAGAAGTGAAGGTGATGAATGTTGGTAAAAATGCAGGATACAGAGTAGAGAAAAGGAAGAATGGTGGAATTGGGTTGGTGAAAGGGAGAACTGTTTTGTTAGTTGAAATCTTGGAGGTGGCAAAGGAGTTGTTGTTGGTGGAGTTGAAAGTCGTTAATGGAGGATCAGAATTCGAGGATCGTCAATGGGAAGAATTGAAAGCTGGATTGAAAGAAATAGTTGTTTCATGGTACAACAATTAGTGATCGAGAAGAATTGAAAGTAGTAGTCATTTCATGGTATACCGATGAGTGATCGATATTGATGGTGGTGGTGGACGGCGATTTTGGCGGGTAATGACGGTGGCCGGAGGCGTTGTATAGAGAAAGTAGACATCATGGATTCATGTTTCAGGATGTTTAGTTAGTAAACTAGGCCTTACCATTATGCTATTTTAGTTCTTGTTAGTGTTTTTTGAATTTTATGTAAATGGATATGAAAATCAGTTTCTTGTTTTAGCTGAACAATTTTTTAATCATTTCTTTTTTTTGTATGTATATTTGAGTTTGATTTACAAGAAGATAGTAGAATTTAATACTCGTCCTTAACCAAAAAGTTTCGGATTTGAGTTCGTGGTACAGAGTCCGGGATCCTCCGTACCTCTTTTTAGGGAGACTCCATACCTCTTTTTAGGGAACACTTTATCTCCAATGTGAAACTTCTCGAAGCGAATCCAGATTTAGCCGGGTTCCTAAGTCGCTTGATTTATCTCCAATGTGGAGCTTATTTCAATGTGGAACTTCTCGAAGTGAATTCGGATTTAGCTGGGCTCCTAAGTCGCTTTATCCCTAATGTGGGACTTTTCAGTGCTATTTCAAATTTAATCGGGCTCCTTCGCACCCATTTGTTAGGGAGCGCTTTACCTCAAATGTGGGACTTCCTAGCTTGAATCTAGATTTAGTCAGGCTCCTGTGTACCCCTTTGTAAGGGAGTCTTTACCCTGACCCCCAATGTGGAATTTGTATTTAGTTGGGTTCCTGCGTACCCCTTTATTAGGGCCCTGATGTGGGACTTTTCGTGCTCCAATATAGATATCCTCAATGTGAGATTTTTCGGCTTGAATTTTCGAGCTCTAATAGAGATACGCTTAATGTGAGATTTTTCGGCGTGAATTTTTGAGCTCCAATATAGATTTTCTCAATGTGAGACTTCTCAATATGAATTTTCGGGCTCCAATATAGCTACCAAACTAGGGGAGAAACTAAAGAAAAAAATTAAAACAAAAAAAACTTGCAACTTATTGAGTTTCTCTAGTGTTTTCCAGTCTAAAACATAACAGCTAGACATCACAAAATGACATTAATATACAGAAAAAAACTGATGGCTGCTATCAAAGCAGTAAAAAAAATCTTTGGTCCCCAACGACCAACAGTATAGTTCCAACTTCCAATAAGGTAAAATGCAAAAACAAAAAACAGTGTAACTGTTTTTGTTTTTTTCAACTCAAAAAGAATCAACCAAGAAAAGTAAGTATATGCTTGTAAACAAAGATAAACACGTATTGCCTTCCAGCTCATCATACACACGGGTTAACATTCAATTTTGATTCTCCACAATTTGATTCAGACATAAAGCTCGAACTCAAACAAATACATAAGGAGGTAAAAGTTCTATCATTGAGTTCTGAAGGGACGATTCAAGATTTAAATACGATGAACTCGAGTTCAAAGTCTATTTTAATCAATTTGATTTATTGGTTTAACAACTCAATTCTATTTTTTTTACTTCTAAAACTTTTGAGACCTTGTTATTTTTTCTCTACTAATATAATGTTGGAGAAGATGGTGGTCGAGCTAACAATGCAAAGACTCAAATTCCAAGTCATAAAGATTCTTATGATTTTTTCATTAGATTTTTTCTAAAGTTTTGATGGTTATCCTATTAGTATTTCTATCTCTACCCACAGCTTTTTATTATTCCGTGAACCTATATAGATATTTTCATGTATTCCAATAATAATAATAATAATAGCTCAATTGAGTAATTTTGATTCTTCTAGTGGGATTTGTGCCTTTTTAATATGCTGTAAATAAAGATAATCTCATCACTCCTACTTGTTGGATCATCAGATGCTGTAGATATTCAGAATTTTAAAGAATTGTGTGCAATTTATGGAAAGTATAAATTTAATCGATTTGATTTTCAGGTTTCTATTACCACGGGTTAGATGAATAAGTAGTTGTGATGTAGCGGGTTAAATGAAAGATTAGGCTTTCTTTTTTTGATTCTTCTTCCGATGTTTAGTATCCGCATTGGAGTTCGATTATACATAGGGCCTCATTCGGGAGAAAACGCTCTCTACTATGAACTTTTTTTCATACTCAGAATTCAAATTCGAGACCTCTGATTAAGGAAAGAGCGGTAGAACTGATGGTTGACATCACAACAGTAAAAAATATCTTTTGTCCAAATAGTAATTCCATTAACAAGCTAGATATGCAAATGTAATCAATGAAAAATCAAGAATCAAAATATATGATTGGCTGCAAAATATAGATTATAGTAAAACAATAAAAAAAATTTAAACTAAAAATGACATTTTCTACCAGTTGGGGATCAATACTGTTAACAGCACAGAAAAACATAGGTGACCAGCTCACTACACAACAATTAGTAGTTAGCTAGTTGATGGTATTATTTCAATGACATAATGCTGCTGCACAAATTCTGACAGAATACAGAGAACACTAAAAGAAGTTGCACAACACAAAATTCAAGGTAGTGTCTCTTTATGTATTTAATAATTTTCCTAATTTCGACATTCAGAAGAATAGATAGAATACTGACATGTGTTTCTCAAATTAATAAATCGCATATACTCTCAATAATTTAGGTATAAAATTATAATAATAATAATAAAAAAATAATTTAGGTGTATTTTTGAGGAAAGTCAATTGTGTCTATAATATAAGTTAAAAAACAAAAGTAAGAATTAACAAACAATAAGCCGTCTTAGCTCAGTGGTAGAGCGCGTGGCTTTTAACCACGTGGTCGTGGGTTCGATCCCCACAGACGGCGGAAATTAATTTTTGAATTCCTGAAATATAAGCCACACAACAACTTTACTCTATGAGTATTAGTGAAGAATAATATCAGATTAAATGTTTAAAATATTAATTTGATTGAAATATAATACATTTATACCATGGAGGGTTAATTTTTTTTTTATACTCCTTATATGATGTCTATTTATATAAGTACCAGGGGGAATAAAAGAATATCACAACGTATAAATAAAGTGAATTTGAATACACAAAACAATTAGAACTTATGAATGAAGATATTAGCACTTTCAAGTCTTTCAATAAGCAGCCGTTGCAGGCGTAGTCAAACTTAACATTGATTGAAGCAAATGTTGGAAGGATCCAAAAAAACAAACAAAGCACTTATCCTTGAATGACAGAGACATATTTTCAAGTGCTATATAGAGAATTACAAGCATTTTTAGTATAACCTAGTATGCTCATAATGAACCGAGGGTCTATTGAAAACAATCTCTCTACCTCACCTCTGAGGTAAGGTAAATGTAAGGTCTGCGTACACTCTACCCTCCCCCAAACCTCACTTTGTGGGAATACATTGGGTATGTTGTTGTTGTAGTAGTAGTAGTATGATCAATTTGAGCCAGTTATGACCATTTTCTTGGAAAAACAGGTTTCAACACCACCGCAAATTCTCTTTCAAATTTTTGTTGCAGAAACACTCTATGAGCAAATACTTAAACAACACTCCAATGTTAAGAGAGCCTTCGAAGTCTGTTTGTTGTCCTCTAAATAAATACACGAATGGTGGTATTTCTCATGAGTAACACTGCAGGGTAAGCAAAATAGTGCTTGAATTTAAAGGGAACGAACACAGATTACCTGTTGAGTTCGTGTATGTCATCAGGAAACATCTTTGATCACCTTAACTTCTGCTCCTTTCTCCTTTAATGCTCGTGCATAACTGCGCACATACGGAAGAATAAAACATGTTTTTGAGATGAAATGTTCGTATCAAACATTATTGAACCAGGCATGGCAGAACAACTTGATGGGTTTCAGATCTGATCAAGTCTAGCATCATTCATTAGGAAGATGAATCCACAACAACAACAACAACATACCCAGTGTAATCCCACAAGTGGGGTCTGGGGAGGGTGTGTACGCAGCCTTACCCCTTACGTTGTTAAGGTAGAGAGGTTGTTTCTAATAGGCCCTCAGCTCAAGTAATTAGGAAAATGAATCATCGAACAAAATATGCACTTGTAAATCTATAGCAAATTGGGCAGTAAACTAAGAAATTTGGAAGAACATTCAGTTGGTGCCAAAACAGCACCCTTTTCTAGGATATTGTCAGCAAAGAAAATATCCATAGGTAGGGTGCCGGAGGATAAATATAGCGATTGCAAGAATATCCTAAATAAGAAGAGGTCTGACACTGATAGCTCCTCAGAAATTATGAGTAAGAGGTTGAGAAAGTAGTACTAAACAAACACCAAATATTGGTCTGTATAAAAAGTTTCAGGAATTGGAACTATTTATGAAGCTCTTTTAACTGGAACTGATTCCTACACATAAGAGGGCTTGAGGAAATTGGGACATGTTTTCTGTTTTGTCAGTTACAACTGAAGGAAGGATAAGTAAAGTCTACAAATCAGTGAATCAGGATGTATACACTATATTTTAGTTACAAGTGAAGGATAATGCAATGTGTCTTCATCTGGACATGAGTGCATAAGGTTATAGCAAGAAGTTGATCTCCCCAACATATAAGCTATGAGCGTGGTAAATGGATATGAATATTCGAAATGTTATTCTCACAAGTAAACACCGAGCAGAACAGTCTGGATGATATAAATAATGGGTAAACAAACAAAGAACCTTTTCAGAGCATCAATATACAGGATTCTTAAAAAGAAAAGAGCACTTACATATGGGACGTGAAATATCTAGCCAAACTGCCAAACTCCATGAGGCCTCTGCAGATGACTCTACTTGATAGCAGGAACATCAGCAGGACTGCAGACTGCTACAGGCTTTGAAACAGATAAAAACCAGAAATATTCAAATTGGATTGATCAGAATAAGCAAGCAAATGAATAATACAAAATAAACACTTCATGCAAAATAGATACGAGTCTACAGCAAAATTAAGTCTTCCCAACAACAACATTATTGCCATCTAATGCAAGCAAGCTCTAAGAAAAGCTAGAGTTTCCAGCATTAATGTGCGACACATTTCCACTATTAAATTAACAAGCAATCATTAGTCCAGAGAAAATTCAAAGAAATCCATGACACCATAATATCGAGATCTTCCATAATATCAGTCAAAATTTTAGTCATATTATCCATAGAATTACCTCAACACATTCACCAAAAGTATTACTCCAGTGCTTCCTCAGACAGACGATAAAATCATGGTATATCCATCACAAAGCCAAGGTTTACTTAGAAGATTAAAACAGTAAAGGCCAGGGAAGATCCTTCAGGGCACATCACAACAGGAACCTGTTGTTGCTTTGTCACATAAGTGTTGCACCAACAGTTAGACGTGAAATGAACAAAAGTAACAATGACTAACGAATACTAATTAGTAAACAGGGTATTTTTCAATTATTAATATTTAATAAGACTATTTAAATGAAAGTAACAATGCAAAATTATTGATCGCCCCCAGTTTCAACAGGAAAGATGCACCGAGGGACCAACAACTGAATACAGTGAAGGGTGAATAAAATGTATTTCTTTCAACTAAAGATTCAACCAGGTATTCAGCTGCTGCAAACAAAGATAAATGAACTGCATAAAAAGATTCTTGGACCAATTGGAGTCAGTTATACAGCACAGAAAATTAGTAGGCCAGCATATAACAAATACTACAAGGTGTACAACATGTGTATGAGCTTCTTGTTGAAGACAGGAGAACTCCCCTAGGCATCCCCAACTGACGAGATGACAAACCATTAACTCAACGTTTTTATAATACGAGGTTGCTGTTACTAAGAAGCTTCTGGCGTACATGAAGGTGCTATTTCAGAGAGCCTTTATAATGGAATAGTTTTATAATTAACAACAGAGTTTGAGACTGAAGGATACTACTAGAGATAGTACTTAATAAATGATGCCTAGATCTGGCAAAAGTTCAATACATTTGTATTTACAACAACAAAATTGTGAAAATTACATGAGAGGCTTGAGCCACTGCACTAGAATCTACCTGCGTCAGTAGAGTATGAAGCAGCTTCTCTTTGAGAGAGTTCTTGTATAAAGTTTAATCTCTGTAGACCCTGCCCCATGGTGCAATCTCCTATCTTTTTTTAGAACGGTAAATATAATCATCTCCTATTGTAAAACCATAAATATTTTTAAAAGAGCTAGGCATCTTTACTATCAGGAGAGTCAGTATCAAGCACACCGATAACGGAAGATAGGGCTGAAGTCCACTCTTGCACGCCACTCTGAGGATCCTTTTTCCTCATAGATTCCAGCTTACTAATAGCCTCCTTTGGAACACCGCATTTAAGAAGAACAATTCCAAGTGATTTGAATGTTGAATCATCAGGTTGGATGGCAGAAGAAAGCATTTCCTTGTAAGTCGCCAAAGCTTCTTTATACCTCCCATCAGATGCACACAATCCAAGCACATTGTTGTAACTCAACAAGTCAGTCAGAAGTCCTAGTTCTTTCATTTTCCGGGCATTTTGAATGGCTTCCTTAAACATTCCATTTCTCCTGTACATGCACAGCATCATTGCATAAGAAAATTCATTTGCATTTCCCTTTTTCTTCAGGTGCTCAAAAATCTCTTCTGCTTGTTTAACCATAGAGCGCTCACTGTACAAGTCAATCATGCAATTTGAAGAATATACATCAAGCCCTTCCTCAAACGACTGAAGCATTTTATACGTTTCTTGTGCTTCTCTCAAATACCCAACCTTGGTGTATAGCTTAATTAAGGAAGTGTATATAACAGCATTTGCCTCTAAACCAGAGTTTCTCATTTCAACCAAGTATTTTGTAGCGTCTTTAACACTTCCCATGTCAGCAAAGGCATTTATCAGTACACCATAAACAACAACATCAGGCTTGATGCCAAACACAATCATTTCATCGAATAAGCTTACTGCCATTTCCAGCTGACCTACTTTAACAAAACTAGATATCACAGCACAATAAGGGATACAATCATCAACTAATCCCGCCTCCTTCATTTCCCTCACATAAGATGCTGCTTTCAGAGGCAGATCTGCACCAGCTAGCATTTGGATGAGTGAACTATAACTGCATTTATCAGGAGATAAGCCATGCTTCTCCATGCTATCGAACAAGTAGCACGCCTCGTTGTATTTCTTGCTAATTCCATACGCCTTGATCATTACATTGAACTCAAGAACAGTAAGCCTTTTTCCCTCACTACAACAATTAAAAGCTCTCTCAGCTTCCGAAATATGGCCACGTTCACCGTAGGCATCAATGTTGGCAGAATAACATTCAGAAGACATTTTTCCTGCAAGATGAAACCTCTGGAACCAGGACCATGACATTTCTACCATCCCAGCTTCTAGATACATCCTAGTCAAAGCTGACTGAGTGAATTCGTCAATCTGTAGATCTTTCTTATCCATCTCCAAAATGAGCTTCTCTGCTTCACTAACCATATTCCTTATAGAAAATGCATACAAAAGAGTGCGATAGGTCACTGCATCTGGCTCTAGAGAAGCATCTTTCATAATTTTAAAGTAGGTGGCAGCCATTTCTATGTTGTCATGCTTGGCGTGAAGGGAAATAAGAATATTGTATGTTCTTGTATCAGGATGACACTGAAGCCCCTCCATCTTTCTCATCAAGGAAGCAACTTCTTCCATTCGGCCATTATTACCACACATGTGAATCATTGTATTGAAAGTAACTGTTGTCGGCAGGATCCCTTCCCTCAGCATCTGGTGAAAAGTCTCGTATGCTTCTTTCACTTGTCCTGCCTTCCCATAAGTGTCAATTAAATTGTTATAGGTATGTGAGCTCAAACAAACACTTGAGCCCGAAGAACCATTGACCCTAATACCACTTCTTGGTCCACCATTTACACGTTCCTCCACTTGACATTTGCATAAAGACCACTTTTTCAAAAACTCTTCCGCTTTCTTAAACTCCCCCGCCATTTTATACATCTGAACAACAATTCCCATTGTCACCTCATCTGGTACCATACCTCGTTCATTCATCAACTTCAACCATTCCATTGCCTGCTCCCTACGCCCACCCTTGCTGTAGACATCAATCAGAGTCCCATACGTTGAATTTATAGGCTCGATTCTCCTTTCCCTCATTTTGCCCCACAGTCTCTCAATCTCATCCCACCTCTGTGATTTCCCAAGAATCCTAAGTACAATATTATAATGTATAACATTCAATTCATGGCATCCTCTTCTCTTAAACCACTCAAAAATCTCCATTGCTCGTTGCCACTCCACCTGCTCCTTCAATATAATAGTCCTTTCTTTTTTAGTCAAACTCTTTTCCCATGGCTTTAATGCCTCATCCAAATTACTAACTGTCTCCAAAGCTTCCAGCATTACAGGAATACATCCTCCATATCTGGCCCATTTTTTCAAACCCTTAGTCTGTACTTTCTCCATCGCATTCCCCGAGCTCAATTGACCACCAACTTTTTTCTTATTCTCAGTTCTATCAACTGGTTTCCTAAAAACACCATTTTGGGTCTCCTTCACGTCATTGCACCATTTTGTCGAACAGTTGGTCTGCACCACATTTACCGAGCTCAATTTTCCATCAATTTTTTCCTCACTCTCAGTTCTATCAACTGGTTTTCTCAAGAAACCATTTTGGGTCTCCTTCACGTCATTGCGCCATTTTGTCGAACACTTGGTCTGCACCCCATTACTCCAGCTCGACCGACCATCAATTTTCTCCTCACTCTCAATTTCATCAACTGGTTTTCTCAAGAATCCATTTTGGGTCTTCAAAACACCATTTTTCCAAACACGGGTATGCGAGTTTTTCCCAATTTGATAATCCAACTTCTCTTTTACATCATCACCATACCCAACACCCGGCCTGAATTTGACCCCAAGAATCTTGCTTTTCTCAATTCTTCCATTTGGGTCATTCAATTTGTTCTGGTCCTTGTATTTCTTGGTGGGTGGGATTGAAATTCCTACACTGGGAGTGGGTTTAGTTGAGTTCAGTATATGGAAACAATTACTGGTGTCAACATACTGAAATTTCACATACATTTTTCTCAATCTTTCAGGTTAAGATATGAACGAAGAAAAGCATTAGGAGCTGCAGAAGAAAATGGTGGAAAAGAAGGAAAATGTAAAGAAGACGAATGGGTAAGGAGGGAAAAATCAAGTCAGAATTGTGCCTATTTTTGGTTAAAGATTTATCACAAGCAGTTGTAAGCCGTTTTAGCTGTGTTTTTAACAAGGAGGTCATGGGTTCGATCCTGATAGACGGCTGTTTTTTATTTGTTTTGGTACGAGTGTGTTTGACTAAGCTTATAAACTGGTTAAAAACAGTTTTCGAATTATCTACATATTTAATAAAAAAAATTAAATTTTGGAATGAAATGTTTTTTGTACAAGATTTTTCGAATAAAAAGATAATTATTCATTTGTTTTACGTCTTTGACATACTGAATTTCTGCTATTTTTGATGTTACACTTGGAAGTTAGAAAGAGTCCTCAGCCTTTAAGTAGACTTTCAATACATTCAAGTACTTCATGGTTTGTAATGAAAAAATTACACTTATGAAGAAGTGCACTATGTATTTGTTGCTCGGACTCTCCAAAAATACACACAACCAGCCATGTTGGATCCTAAAAATATGATATGACACGCACTTCGAGCAATATAGTTTCAAGTGCGGCATTAGATCATTACAAGCATTTTATCAGTTCAGTAGTCTGATCATTGATCAATTTGAGTCAACAGTTCTCATATTAACCATGAATCTCTTAACATTCTTGTTGCAGAAACACTGAGTTATCTAGCAATCTATGAACAATACTTCTTAAACCACACTCCAATGTTTAGAAAGCTTTCAAAGTCTGTTCGCGGTCTGCCAAAAGAGTATATGCGTTAATGATCTCCTAAGGGGGGGGGGGGATTTAGTTCTCGAATTAGGGGAAGGAACACAATTACCTGTCGAGTTCGTGTATGTCATCAGGAAACATCATCACCTTAACCTCTACGCCTTTCTCCTTCAATGCTCTTGCGTACTACACAGATACAGAAGAATGAAGAAATGTTTACGAGATGAAATGTTTATATCAAACATCGAATCAGGCAAGACATAGTAGGGTTACGTTCCTCTAGCAGAACGAAAGAGAGAGCTAGAGAACACTGTAGGAAGTGTTCATACTTGTAGGAATACTTAACTTCATCGTCACAAGATGATCAAATGAGCTGAATGATAGTTCTTTGAGAGTCTTAATTAATAGGAGAATGCATCATTCATGTTAGACTCGGAAAAAATTGGAAAACTCAAGCGATAGATAATAGCTTCTTGGATTCATAAGCAGCGACATGTTTAAGTGCAGCTATGGGAAGCAATTAAAATTTGGGGTGTATACTCAGTGTTAGTCTAGTTTTAC